CCACTCATACTGTGTTCATTTTACTTCCGCAGCTCTTAAAATGGGTCATAAATTGCCTTAAATTTATTCTTAAAAATTCTGCGGATACCCTGTAAGTAGTTAAATAAAATTCCTTCCTTCATATTTGTTGATATTTGTGTATTAAAAATATTTTTGATTGACATTTAAACTCCTATATGATTTTCTATACTTAAAAAAAAAAGGTCTTTTTTTATTTGGGCTAGTTAAATCAAATTTCGGGCTACCAAAATCTGAAGAGTACCTGCCCGAAGGGCTACCAGAGATTTTGAAATTTTGCGAGCCCTGCAATAGGTAACTTAATTATTCAAATCGTTAATTACATCTAAAAATCCCTATAAACCTTAAAGCATAGACAATAGAAATTAAACTCTTTATTCTTTCGATTTGAGTTAAATATGAAATAGTTTAGCCTTTTAGTTTTAAAACAACTGTAATACGTAAACATTTTAATAAAAAATTTAACCTTTGGTTAATAAATAGAATTACTTACAGCTTGATAAATATTACATGTATCAAGCTGTAAGCATTAAACTTTTCAAAGCAATGAGTACCATATTTCATACACACTGACATACTGTACATGTATTGGCAGTCACTAATACTAATTTTACATACTCCTAACAAAAAAAAACAACAACATGATTTTGTACTATCATTCATGCACATATGCTTTGTATTACCACACAGTACATAAACAACATTCTGATGTTTTATCAACTAAATTATTTTTGCTTAGCACATTATAAACACCGTCATCTGAAAGTAGATCTAAACATTTCTAGACTGTAACATTCATCATGCTGCAGTGTAAACATGCACATAACTTTATATCTATATTGTATTATACAAATCATATTTTTATTATATGATAGCAAAAAAAATTACATCCTCGTTTCATACGACATTTAGCCTATATGTAATAAGTTGCCTATATATATATCTGAGTGTATATCATATTTCAGCATATTTCACTCGCTTGCACATATTTCAGTTTGGCAAGATGTTTAGGAAAAGCCCAACTAGTAAAATCCGTATAAGTTTATGTAAAAATAACACGTTAACTAATGTAAGAAAGAATAAATTACAGAAATTATCCCCTCTGCTAAATAAAGCTGCGTCAGATCGCGCTGTTCTTCTGAGGTGCATGCCGGCTAAATTATTTTTGCTTAGCACATTATAAACACCGTCATCTGAAAGTAGATCTAAACATTTCTAGACTGTAACATTCATCATGCTGCAGTGTAAACATGCACATTACTTTATATCTATATTGTATTATATAAATCATATTTTTATTATATGATAGCAAAAAAAATTACATCCTCGTTTCATGCGACATTTAGCCTATATGTAATAAGTTGCCTATATATATATCTGAGTGTATATCATATTTCAGCATATTTCACTCGCTTGCACATATTTCAGTTTGGCAAGATGTTTAGGAAAAGCCCAACTAGTAAAATCCGTATAAGTTTATGTAAAAATAACACGTTAACTAATGTAAGAAAGAATAAATTACAGAAATTATCCCCTCTGCTAAATAAAGCTGCGTCAGATCGCGCTGTTCTTCTGAGGTGCATGCCGGCTTATTCCTCATAGCAGGTCTTCTTCCAAAAACAATGAAAAGTAGATGAATCTTGATTTTTTTTTTTCTTTTCTTTTTTTTATATATATATCTAGGTGATGAGGGCATTTGCGTGCAGGTATGGCTGCAGATAATGAGCTCAGAGAAGGGAAAGACTGTTCCCCGCTTTAGTTTCATACAGATTACATAATCAGAGAATATTCGTTTTGTATTTGAATTGGTTCATTTAAAAGTAGACACATCAAGTTTTCTAGACGTATCTCTCATGTCTGTGTGTGAAGTATTCGCTGAGTTTCGGTTCATTTTTGTGACGCGTTTCAGAAAGAAGTTCACGGAGACCGAGACGGCAGAAAGCGCACCCTGTTTGATTTCTTTATTTTACAAACACACATGTTCGTTAATGAATATTTTTCGTCTTCGTTGGCGAAATTAACACTGTCCCTTACTTTACTTTTTCAGTGGATAAGTAATTTAATTACAGTAACGAGTTACACGCAACACTGTTTGTTCTTTTTCCACAGTCAAGAGGCGATTCCAAGCCTGTCTGTGAGACGAGATGAGCAAGACGACATGGAAAAACTGCAAGTGAACCCACCAGCGCACAGAGGGTTAAAGATGCAACATTCAATTTTACCTTTAGACTATAAATTTCGATTTCAAATTCAATATTGATTTTAGAACTGTTGGAATTATTTACAGTATGTAACGCAACTGTAATTAAATTACCTAAAATGAACAGTAATCCCTTACCAGTGTTAATTTTGACAGCCATTTTTGATTTAGTCTTAGTCTTTATCTTGAGATGAAAATGCTCAATAGTCTTAGTCACATTTGTCATTTGAGTCTTTCATAGTTTTAGTCGACAAAAAGTCATTGCATTTTTGTCAACTTTTAGTCATTACTTTTAGTCAAACTGCAGTTACTAGTCAAACTGCAGTTACCAACATTTATTTTGGTAGCTATTTTATATGTAGTCTTCCAACAAAAATAGTCATTAATTCTTCTCTCTTTAGACCAAAGCATTTAAGCTTATGAGAAATTTGAATCAAGGATTGAATTTGGAAAAACTAAAAAAAAATTTGGGTGAACTATCCCTTTAACAGTAGTGAAAAGGGAGCAACTTAAAAAATTATAGTTGTTCATATATAGTATACATATATATATATAATTTATAATTTTTGAAAAAGAAGCAGAATAAGACAAATACGAAAGAGATACAAATTAAACTCATTTTTCAAATTTTGTAGGTTAGGTTGGTTTAATAAAAATATTTATCTTCGTCTTCGTTGGCGAAATTAACACTGTCCCTTACTTTACTTTTTCAGTGGATAAGTAATTTAATTACAGTAACGAGTTACACGCAACACTGTTTGTTCTTTTTCCACAGTCAAGAGGCGATTCCAAGCCTGTCTGTGAGACGAGATGAGCAAGACGACATGTACATTCTGCCTGCACTTCCTCCTGATGAGGACAGAGACAAGAGCAGGTGAGATCATGGGAAAAACACCAATAAGACATAATGATAATGAAGAAACATGTTTTCATTTGTGTCTTTGTAAATGCTGCTGTAGTTCAGAGGAGGAAAGAGATGGAGACGAATCACTGCAGACGTACAGCAGATTCCAGGTGAGATCAATCACATCCACAGATTTTTTATTTATTTATTTATTTATACAGTGCTTTTCACAATACAATTTGTTTCAAAGCAGCTTTACAGAAAACCGTGATTAAGGTTTATAATATCTTCATGCCTTATAGTCACATTTATCAGATTGATATTATAGTTATTTATGACAAATATAAACAATCAAGCAGTTTAAATTTGCTGTATACTGTAGTATATATTGCTATTTTTGAGTGAATTGTATGTTTGTGGATAGCATACATTCATATTTCTACTGCAGGAGCATTTGAGTATCCTGTATAAAGTTTACTCTTCCCTACTCTGATCTCTTTCATATGGAAGCCAATTTCAGCCACATAAGAAAAACATTCATGCATTTGTACATAAATATAACATTGTATGTCATGAATATGAAATAAAAGTCAAAATCAGGATTATGATCATAATTATGGCTTTTTAATGCCATAATTTTGACTTACTTCATAATTTACATTTGGTCATAATTTTGACTTTTTACTGATATAAACATGCAGCCGAGTGTATCTCATACGTCTCTGATTTATTATTTTCTTGTCTTGTTCAGGAAGAGATCTATGACAACCCTAACTCTGTAGACATCAACTCTGAGGAGTTTTCCCTCATGCCACCGGAGATCAAGCATGAAATCTTAAAAGAAATGAAGGAATTCAGCAAGAGGCGACGCACGCTGTTCCACAAACCCCCAGAGGTGCTGCCGTTCATATCATCATTACAGTCAGCGGGACATTATTATCATTTTGAACACTAATACATTCCTCACCTTATCTTGTTAAACTCTTGATCCTGGTGTCTCAGAGGTCAGGTGAGTTCTCGCAGTATCAGTTGGTGGGTCTCCTGCAGAGGAACAAACTCAACCAGCGTCTGGAAGGAGTGGAGCAGGAGATGAACCAGCACAGCTCTGGAGGAGTGGAGCAGCCGTACGGCCAGAACAAAGACCATGACATGGAGATCCGCCGTCTGGTGTCAGAGGACTCGTCACACTACCTCCTCATCAAAGGTCACTGGTGTGGAAAAGTTAGAGCGCCATCTGCGCATATCTGTTGCTTAGTTTGAGCTCATCTACACTAGCAATCAATAGTTTAGGGTCAGTTATATTTATAATGTTGTTGAAAGAAGTCTGCATTTATTTGATCAAAAATACAGTAAAAACAGTGAAATATTATTACAATTTAAAATATGTTTTCTATGTGAATATATTGTAAAATGTAATTTATTCTTGTGATCAAAACTGAATTTTCAGCATAATTACTACAGTCTTCAGTGTCACAAGATCCCTCAGAAATCATTCTAAGCCGATTTGGTGCTCAAGAAACATTTATTTCTATCAGTATTAAAAGCTTAATATTTGTGTGGAAACCATGATTCCTTGATAAATGGTTGAAAAGAACAGCATTTATTTGAAACCGAAATCTTTTGTAACATTAGAAATTCTTTACTGTCACTTTTGATCAATTTAGTTCAAAAGTCTTACTGGCTGCAAACTTTTGAATAGAACAAATTTTTTTCTAGACATGGCATTTGGAGATGCAACTACAACAATCCAAGTTCAACCTATTACGCTCAGTTCCTTATTTACCAACCGAGAAAAAAAGGGGAGTGGAGCTGACCTGATTGACAAGCCTCGTCCTCTGCTCTCCGCTGATTTGCTGCTCAAGAAACGTTTCTGATTATTATCAGTGTTGAAAACATTTGAGCTGCTTCATATTTTTGTGTAAACCATTATACATTTTATTTTTCAGGATTCTTTGATGAACAGAAAGTTCAAAAGAACAGCTTTTATTTGAAATAGAAATCCTTCGTAACATGAATGTCTTTACTGTCACTTTTGATCAATTTAATGTGGTCTTGATGAATAATAGTATTAATTTGTTTTAAAAAAATGTAAATAAATGATGCTGGTTAATGGTGACGTGCAGCAAAAAAATTTCAGTAAGGGTTTTATTTTGATTGTTTTGTTTTAGAAATATTTATTTAAATATTTCCATTTTTAAAATTGAACAACTCTTTTTCAGGATTCTTTGATGAACAGAAAGTTGAAAAGAACATAATTTATTTGAAATAGAAATCTTTTGCAACATTAGAAATGTCTTTAGTGTCACTTTTGAACAATTTATTACATTCTTTTTGAATAAAAGTATTAATTTCTTTCAAAAAAATTGTGTCTTACTAAAATATGTTACTATATTCTTCAGGGTCTCAGAAGAAAGCCAGCACTCCAGACAGTCGTCTGGCTCCAGCGCTGTGGTCCAGCTGTCCATGGGAACCTAAAGGGAGGCCTAAAGGGAAGCCTGAGCCCTTGTGGCGGCCTGTGACAGAGGATGATGAGAACAAGCCTTCCTCCTCCACATCCTGTGCTGAGGAAGAGCTGCTGGCGTCAGGTGGAGCACCTCCCTCTCCTCGCTCCCTACAGGCCATCCAGAGCGCCATGATGGACAGCAGCTCTGAAGAAGAAGCCGTGGCCACAAGAGGACGAAGGACGGCAGGATCTGTAGATGAAGATGGACGCGTATCGCCTCAAACTCTACAGGCCATCCAGAGCGCCATGATGGACAGCAGCTCTGAAGAAGAAGCCGTGGCCACAAGAGGACGAAGGACGGCAGGATCTGTAGATGAAGATGGACGCGTATCGCCTCAAACTCTACAGGCCATCCAGAGCGCCATGATGGATCCCGCAGACGTCCACAAACGCAGGACGTACGTCATCACGAGCAGCTCAGAGGACGAGGATGAAGCTGTGGTTCTTGACAGAAGCATTGTCACTGAGGTGACTGGAGTTGGAGGCGTTTCTCCCAGGACTCTGTTGGCCATACAGGAAGCTCTGGGAGACAAAGCTGTGGAGGTAATGGACCTGAGGAGCAGCTCTGATGGAGAGCAGACAGAGGAGGTTCCTGGAATCAGCATTTCCTCACAGGAAGAGTCTTCAGAATTTAAGCATCAGCCCAGAACGCCGCTTATTCTCGGTTCTGCAGTATCTGAAAGGCAAGAGGAGACGCGTGAGCCACAAGATGCTGTGGTACAACTTCCTCTAAAGGAAAGACACCTGAGTGCTTTCTCTGATGACAAACCTGTGAATGCAGACCAAACAGATCAGATGGAGGAAAACAAAGTGAAAAGTGAAGATGATGAGGAAAGCAGCTCTGAAGGTACAAATACGCACAGACACTTCATGTTTGTGCTTCTGGTACAGAAATTACAGCTTAAAGTAGGGATTCCCAAACCTTTGAGCTAAAATATTTTCTTGAAGCCCCTTTGAGATTTTAAGTTAGTATTTCAGTAGCTTAACGACACATTTGCAGGTTCACGGTTCTCTTATTCCAGTTTATGGTCACGACATGCATCTTAATTAATAAAATATTTTATCTTTTTTCTAGTAAGTGTTTTATTTTGATTGTTCTTTTAATTTTACATTTTTTTATTTTTTATTTTTAATGTGTTTTGATTACTTTTTATTTTAGAATTATTTATTTAGTTTTAAAATTTTATATTTTAATTATTATTTTTATTATGTTTTATTTTGATTGCTTTTATTTTAGATTAAAATTTTTAGGATTTAGTTTATTTTAAGTTTGCGTTTTATTTTGATTCTTTTTATTTTAGAATGATTCATTTTAATTTTTCTAATTTATTACATTTTTAGTATGAATTTTATTTTGATTGGTTTTGTTAGATTACATTTTAGTTAGATTATTTGTAGTTTCAATGCTATCAGTCATCAGCTGTGAACCGGTGTGTCAACCCCTGTGGTGTAGAGCAGCTACAGTGCGGGATCCCGGGAGAATGATCAAGCAAACACAGAGAGCCAGTGTACTACCATAACATTCTCAAGTTTATTAGTTTTTACATTTGAATAATTAGCCTTTCATCAACTCACAACCCCTGGCTGAAAGGATGTTTAGATGTTTTTATTGGAAAACAAAAACTGAGTCATTCGAGTGTTTCATACGTGTTTGTTTGGTCTCTGCAGAGAGTTTTATTGAGGTGTCTGATGCAGAGGAACCATCTGAAACAGAAGAATCTCACGTCAAAGCAGAAGCCGATAAAAGCCCCTCAGAAGAGAAAGCGGAGGAGAGAGCAGAGGAAGAGGAGAGCAGAAAGGAAGAGTCCAGCGTCCAGAGCCCAGATAAGAGTGAGGAAGTCAACAAGTCCATAGATGAAACTCCTCCTGCTGCAAGTGAATGGGATCACATCGACACGGTGCATCTCAGTTATCACACTGAATCCTTGTAGTTGCGCAGTGATTGTGTGCTGTGTAACACATCAGTGTGTGTTGCAGGAGGAGCTGCTGCAGCTGGACAGAGAACTGCAGTGTGAGCAAATGAGCTTGAGAGAGCAGCAGCAGCAGCAGGAGCGCAGCAGCACCACGGTCACCGGACAGATGTACCAGGAGAGCCAGGTCAGCATCCTTATACAGAACATATGCTAGTGCAACACAGGGTTATTATAGTTAACTAGATTTTCTAAACGGGGCAAATTAACATGAGAGTGCAATCACAAAAGCGCAGATGAGACTGTAAAGTTCTGCTGATCTACTACTGACAAATAAGCAAACTAAAGAACACAGACACAGATAATTTCCATAATGACCAATGCAATCTACCAAGAGCAGCACAAATTAACATACAGATGATGTTAATCATGTGTGGGTAATCTACTAACAACACAGGCACAAAATAGGTTAAGTCATGTTTTTTGGGCATTAAAGGCACAATATGTAATTTTTCGCCGCTATACGGCGCGTATTCAAAATAAACAAAGAGCCGTGACTGAGTGTGGAATCATGGGAGTTGTCTTCGTCCCCACAGCCGATGCAATCTGACGGGACTCGGGCAGAAATCATGTTCATGGATGAGCTAATGATTTATTAACGTAGTAGAATGAAGCAGGGTGAGGCTGAAAGCCGTCGAAGCGAAACGAGGCCGCTGAACGAGCGCGACACACGGCTCGAAAGCAGCGGAGCTTTTTGGATATTTTAATAAAAAAATCTTACATATTTACAATTTAAATAATGGCAAATACCAGTAAACTGACTAGCGCAAACCTTGGTAAATCACCTTGCGTGATTTATCAATATACTCTCCTCCCAAAAATGTCTGAAAGGGAAACTCCTACAAAAACTCCTCCATTTCTCATTTTAATTTAGTTTATCTTGATGTACTAAAATAACTAATAAAAACTATATAAACATGTTTAAAAAATACTAAAAATGGCAAAAACACTCAACAAAATTATCAAGCTAAAAATAAAATGAAACGGAAAATATAAAAATAAAAACTGATTCAAAATATTTATAAAACTATAATAGTATCTCAGTGATACTAAAATAACACTGGTGCAACATTCACAACACAAAACCCTTTCCAATCCAAACAGAGCTCTTTCAGCTGTTGATTACAGCTGCTTGAATTCCTTTTTAGAGTTGGTTAAAGTCATTAATGTAAACACTGATATTATTACACATGGATATGTTGTGTTATGACACGATTCTCCTGCGTTTGCGTTTCTTGCATTATTGACAAACTATTTTCCTGTTTCACTGTAAAGCTGCTTTGACACAACCAGTATTGTATAAAGCGCTATACAACTAAAGGTGACTTGACTTTGTCTGTGATCAGGAAGGTTAAAGAGTGAATTTCACATAATTATTGTCATTCATATATTATGTGTGTTCATGTTCTCATCTGTGAGTTGGCTGTGAATCCAGTATGACAGCTTTATAGCTGCACTTATTCATGTCATTTAACCGTGTGTGTGTGTGTGTGTGTGTGTGTGTGTGATGGTAGCAGGTGCGTGTGAAGTATCTGGTGTAAAGCCATGTGTGAAACTGATCATTCAGTGTTATGAGTTCAGTGAAATCATATCAGTGCTGACTGGATAAATAGTCTTTGTCCTTTTTTCCCAGAATGGTTCAGCTGGATTAGAGGAGATTTATCGTTTTAAACCTGTCAGCTCAGCTCAGTTTACTTTACGTTACATTTAGGAGTAGCTTATCAGTGGTGACTGTGTCAAGGTGATGTCCATATAGCAGAAATGTACGGTAAAAATCATGCAGTTAGTTAATGACATGTATTGAAACATACATGTTGAAATGGTGAACAGCAATGATTATATGTTGCGATCAAACTTATAGGAAAATGTGGCAATTTTGTGTGTTGGTTCAGGGTTGGTTCATTCCCATCCTGTGGCAGAAACAGAAAAGCAAATAGAGAAAAATTAGCGTAAAAATTTGCGTAGCTGCTGTTCAAACCAAGCAAAGAATGATAATGTGCATTTGATCAGATATAACTGGAGTACAAGTTTATTAGAAACGTGAATGCTTGGCTAATGAGAGAGAGTTTTGTGACCTTAAGGAGCTTGATGGATTGTAGTGTGATAGAAGGTTATATAGCAGGTTATTAGTGAATTTATCTTTAGTGGTTGAAACAATAGTTCTAATAGCTTTAAAAAAAAAATTATGGAAAAAATCGTGGATTAATCACGATCAGATTTTTTCTAGATCCTGCATTAAATTTATAGTCTTTATAGATTGTACAATACAAGTACTTCTACCATTTAAGTGGGTAGAACAAAAGGCCATCACAGCAGTTATATGAGATTTGACTCGTCGATATGTGGGAAGCGGTCCTGGCACGATGATCCTCGTCGCGTGCAATGTGCTGCGTACCGCCTTGATCGGGCTCTTAAAGTCCCTCTTCAGAATCTCCGTCTGCTGCAACTTGATGTTGTTCACCCCTGCGTGAAGCACGACAGCTCCGATGCTCTCGTCACCCTTCAGGATTGCGGGTATCTGAAACATAGAGAACACGAGCACCTTACCTTTAGCTAAAGTAGCACAGATGTGCCGGACGATGGAATCTCCCATTATAACAGCGCCCCGTTCCGTCTCACGAAGGGGAGCGAATCGGTTCCGGGTGGATCTTGAAGACTGGAGGGGGACAGGTCCTTGCCCGGGGCCTGGCTCGTGTCTTCCGCTGCTGGTGCATCCAGGGTCCGTGGTGTCCTGGTGCCGGAGTAAAGGAGACCTGGGAAGATCACGTCCTGGGTGCACGGGGCCTGTGCAGAGAAACACACGGAGTAGAGGTGGTGGGAGTATTAACATCGCACCGTAAACCTACCTCAGACTTTTGACCGTCGGCCCGAGATGTTTCCAGCGTGGCTCTCCACTCTCGCAGCTGGGCCTGCTTCTCCAGTAGGTCATGGATCTGCTTCTCCATGGCCTTCAGCTCCAGCTGCACCGAGTGCAGCTCAAACATGTCCTCACCTGCACTCAAAGGTAGACACATATCCACCATTAGAGCAAGTAAACAGTGAGTAAAACAAGAATAATGTGCGTGAATAGAGTGTGCGCAAGGTTAGCGGCAACCACGTTGTCAATGCTAATGGGGGCTATAAGGTATTAGCGATCAAAATAAAATGTCTCTGGTTATTGACGTAACCTCGGTTCCCTGAGACGTACAGCAAAAGCTGACACTTTGGGGGAAACACCTTTTTCCTCGAATACTGAAGCCTTATTCGCTTAACGCCATTGCATTGCAATGGCCAATGTTGATTGAGTGCATGAAAAGGTGGCTGGAAAGCGCCCTATATAAGCGGCGCTGAGCGGCATTTCATCTTATGAAAGACCTGATCATAAGTAACACGGCATGAACGCAACATCTTCTCAGGGAACCGAGGTTTCGTCAGTAACCGGAGACGTTCCCTTTCGAGAGGGTCACTCTACGTTGCATACAGCGCAAGCTGACACTTTGGGGAACGTGAAACTTCACGCCATATTACTGCGAAGAGAGCTTGGCATAAGCGGAGACGACAAATAAGCACAGCAACACTCAACAGCAATCGAAATGCATGGTACAGCCACTGCACACAAGTACGCATAAGCAGCACATTCCAGTACAGCTTCTCACATGAGTTAGACATGCAGCTGTGGCGCTTACTGGAATTAGACAGCACATTAGCCTGGGGAACTGTGTGTAAGTTGGCTAGGCGGTAGCAGCACCAGTGCCACCTACTACAGAAGTGGTGTTTTTATTTTTTTTTACCAAAGCGACGTCCCGAGTGGGGGTACTTGACGGGCGAGGGGGGTTCAGCCTCCCCATAGAAATCTAATCACATCAGTCCTCCCCACTGACAACCTATCAATGTCAGAATGAACGCTGATATGACAGCTACATACTCTTGACCATGGAGGGCGTACGGCCATCATTCGAACACTTGTAGAAAAGACGAAACTACTGAAAACTGGCAGTTGACAGGGTCTTGGCCCTTCGAAGTTCAACAATTTTCAAAGGCTCTCCACCTATGAGCGTAGAGACGTCTAGTAAACGGAGAGCTGAATGTCTTCTGCACTTGCTGTGACAGCGAGCCTGATATTGGCAAATGCCGTCGAGTGGCCAGACACACAGATTCCATAAGTCTGGACTGGATGCCAGGCTGAGTTGCTGGCTTGAGAGAGGGAATCTCTCTTCAACGAAATTAGCCATTCAGGTTACGAGAACCGGTCTGCCCACGTCTTCAGGCTCGTTGCGAGCATGAGAAGAGGGTGAGAACGGAAACCACCTTGGCGATTATGAATGCCACAGCTGCCATATTCATGCGAAAGAGAACATGCTTGTGATGGACCTAAGTGTAGAAACACTAACGAGACAGGTGAACTGCTCCGATCACCAGGCAGATCCAGGCAGGTCATCAGGTACCTTTTCTCCGTGCCTGTCCGACTATTGACCTTATTGTAGTCTCGTCTTAGTCATGGGAAAAAAGCTTGTCAATGAACATTTTTCATCATACTTTTCATTAACGAAATGAACAGTAGTACATACTTCAGAATAGCATGAGTAGTATACTAGTATACAATACCGGTGTCTTCTGATGCAAAGACACTCATGTTTCCATGATACTGAAGTGTTTTTCTTCCTCTGATGGCGTTCAGGAGCTGTTGCGTTTGTTCGGTGTGCCGTTCATCGTGGCTCCGATGGAGGCTGAAGCCCAATGTGCAGTGCTGGACCATCTGGACCAAACGCACGGCACCATCACCGACGACAGCGACATCTGGCTCTTCGGCGGTCGTCAAGTCTACAAGAACTTCTTCAACCAGAACAAATACGTGGAGCATTACCAGTCTGTGGACATGCAGAACCAACTAGGTGAGCTGCAGTACTGAGATCTAGGGATGCACGATAATGGATTTTTGCTGATATTTTTCAACTCATTTTGGCCGATAGCCGATACCGATATATTTCCTTTTGTTTGGAAACAACACCAAGTCTCTCCTGTACAGAGATTGTAAACAAATTATTTTTAATTTTGGTTAGTTATTAACAAAAACTTACTTGTTAGAATTAAATAAACAATAATGAAGTTCTTTTATAATGGGAGTACACTGAAAGCTGAAAATAACTATAAATCAATCAAAAAAAATTTCCAGACAGATGTGGGAACCATAACATTTTATTTGAAGATTAAAATATTTATAGATGGTGCAAAGCAAAAGAGTTGTAAAAGTTCTGAAAATCTTTTAGAGCTGTTTTGTTTCATAATCTGTTATATATATATATATATTACACATTAATGAATAATTCTGTAAATATAAAATTATTTAAATTACAAGTGTCATGTTTGTGATTTTTATTCATGTAAGCTAAAACTTCTGAACTTTGACCTTTAAATCAAAGCATACTCGTGATTTTATGATATCAGTAACTTCTTTATTTAATCTTAATGTATTGAAAAACAATCTTAATGTTATTTGTGTATTTTACTTTCATTTTATTACAAGTAGGCCAATAGACCAATTTGGAGTAGACGTCACAGTTACGTCACTTGCAGCAGCGCGCACATTATGGTGGCAGAAAAACACTGGGAACAAGTGGAGGATAATGGTAAAATCCATGGAATAAGAGAAAAAATATATTGTTGTGCTTTTGGATGTCAGAATCGGAATGAAAATCATTTTTATATAATACTGCGGTCAAAGACGCCATTTGAAGCTGAATGCAAACGTTTAAATGGACAGACTATGGATGAAACCTGATTACCCTACTTTCAATCCATAAATTTGATTTAAACAATAGGTCTATATAATATTCACATAGGGTACATATTGTATTAGCCCAACAGTTAAAGCATGGAATATTATTTAAACCTATAACATTTTACATAACATTTACCTATTTTATATCACAATACTGACTTTTTTCTTGCAAATGCAAGTTTATATCTCCTAGTTCGGACTTTATAACTTGATTCAACTCAACAATTGCGAGTTTGTCAATTATGAGGAAAAAAAGCCAGAAGTGTGGGATTGTAAACTCATGATTCTGAGCCAAGGGGAAAAGAGAGAATGACGAGTTGATTTTTCTTATCAGAAGTGTGAGATATAATCTCGGAATTGCAAGAAAAAAGTCAGAATTTTGAAATATAAGATCAAAATTACCTTTTTTATTCTTTTATTCCATGGCTTGCAAAGACTGCTACGTTAAAACTGTCATTTTCTGCCACCAGATAGGCTCCGCCCACAAAAACGTCATCACTGTTTACAAACACTGAAATTGGTCTATAGCACCCCCTAAATAAATAAAATGCCTTACCGGACGGGCATTAGGACCTGGCTATTGCTGCTACTGCACACGTTAGTGACTGTTGACTCTTTCGCACACTGAACGCATCATTCTGTACTAGCATTCTCAAATTAAATGCGACAATCCAAAATAATGAGTCTAATTACCATTCAGGCATTTGGTCAAGAATGACCGCACTGCTGGCGTTATCTTATCGCTAGCACACCCTTGAGCACATGTGAGTTATTCATCTTATCAGCAAGGCATATCGGCATAATTTTTCATATCGGGCCAATAATTAAGTTTTAAGCCAATATTGGCCGATTCCAATAATGTTTCGATAATATTGTGCATCCCTACTGAGATCAATTAGTGTGCATGTATAATAGGTGGAAAGAGACACCAACGTGAGCTTGCATCCGTCTGTAGGCCTGGACCGGACCAAAATGATCAATCTGGCATATCTGTTGGGCAGTGATTACACTGAAGGCATTCCAGGAGTGGGATACGTTACAGGGATGGAGATCCTCAACGAGTTTCCTGGTTCTGGTTTAGAGCCTCTTGTTCAACTCAGGTCAGAAACACTGTAGAAGGTGATTGTCATTTTAACAGTAAAAGACACTTACTATATATGGTGAAAATTGGAAAATGGGACATTTTATGTAGTTTTACTGTGAAATACTTTTACATTTTGGAAATAAAAATTAAGTCATCTTATAATTTACAGTGAAAAACCATAAACCTGCCAGTTCACTGCACGAGAAGCCTTTGATGGTATTTTGTTTAACCCTCATAATGCATTCAAAATCTGTATACTATGATCTGCCAATACCCTTTTGTTAAGTCCAGTGTAGAATAAAATTGAGCTGTACCCAGCCGATCAAGCAATTAGTCAGCCCACGGCATTGGATATGCGTCGAATTTCGACACAGCAAACACCTTGCGATAATCCACACAGAATTGTATGGAGTCCTCCGTTTTAGGCACTAAAAATATCAGGCTCACCCTCATCTCTAGCATCGCCTCACACACTACCGCCCCCAGCTCGGTCTCAGTATGGTGTTGACTGAGGTTGGTTCGACCGGGCAGGGGCGAGAACACGTCTGCAAACTCAGCTTGCAATCTAGCTACATCAGTGAGCTGGGAGGGTGAAAGGTAATCTCCCCCTGGGGCCAGAGCAAGAGATTAGACTTTAGTGTTCACTTCTGGCCCGAGGTCTTCCTCTCCACTTACTGCCGTTGCCAGCATCACTGGTTACGCCTCGCTCTATTTTTTCTGGAGGTTTAGGTGGTAAATCTGACGTGCCCCACTCCTGTCCGTTCAAATTATTTCATAATTTATATCTCCCACTTGCCGTGTGACCTCAAAGGGTCCTTGCCACTTGGCAAGTAATTTAGAACTAAACGTTGGGAGCAATACAAGCACTTTATCTCCCTGTTCATAAACACGTAATCTGGTTCCCCTATTGTACAGCCGGCTCTGTCTGTCCTGGGCCTGTAACAAATTCCCCGTAGAGAGCCGCTCCAAATTGTAGAGTTTTGTTCTCAGGTCCAGCACATACTGAATTTTGTTTCTGCTATCCGAAGGTTCGTCCTCCCAAACCTCTCTCAGGACGATTAAATCGTTCCACCAGCCCGTCTGTTTGTGGATGAAAGACGCTGGTGCGAACTGATTTAATGTCCAATAATTCGTAAAGCTCGTGTAATGAACGTGACATAAACACCGTGCCTTGATCAGTGAGAATCTCTTTCGGGATTTCCACTCAGGAGATTATACGAAACAGGGCGTCCGCTACACTTTTCGCGGAAATGTTGCGGAGCGCTACTGCCTCAGGGTATCGCGTTGCATAATCCACCAGGACTAATGCAAAGTGATGCCCCCGTGCAGATCGTTTTAATGGCCCCATGAGGTCCATGCCAATTCTCTCAAAGGGGACCTGCATAAGGGGAAGAGGGCGCAAAGGCGCTTTTGGGGAGGCCGGGGGATTCACTAACTGACATTCACAACAAGCCGCGCACATTCTCGTGAATGCCTGGTCAGAAAAATCGGGTCATGAGAATGAGGTGTGAGTTAACTGCAACACACACCGCACCTGAATCACGCGGCTCTTATCCAATGCCTCTGGCTCAATCAGGCTTTGATGGATGGAGGTTTGGTTGCATCCAGAATCCACCAAAGCCCGATAAGTACCCCCCCCCCCTTAATACTCACAGGTATTTGGTACAACCCAGCTCGATCGGGGTCAGCCTGTGGTGCGTCCAGAACCCGGATCAGTGTCCTCACCTCCATCAACGGGCACCGATCAATAAAGTGTCCTGGGTACCCACAACACCAACAAGCCGGCCCAGACCTCCCCGCCGCCCTAGTGGCAGGAAGTGGTTCAAGAGATTGACGAGGAGAGAGCAGAGGAACGGGAACAGACGGTTTGCTCGAGCTGGCCAGGTGGGGGCAGGGCTCTCAGCTCAGCTGTAGCCTCAGGAGCCAGACTACCCCTCTATCAGGGTTGGGCTGGAGGAGTGAGATTCCCCTGGGACCTAGGGAAAGGTTTAGAGGCAGAAGGAGAGGGGAGAGTGAAAGAGACAGACGGCAGGGATTTGTCGACCCATACCACGCCACCACCTCGTCCTCCACCAGTTGAATGGCCAGGTCCAGCGCCGTCGGGCAATGGCACTGGACAAACTGCGTGGTTGTCTTTGACGCACAATGAACTGTTCCAGCACCACCCAATCAATGATTTGCTCGACGTCGCCTTCCCCATTCAACAGACATCTGCGGCACGCGTTCCGGAACTGTTGAGCCATCATGAAGGGTTTGCCGCTTTCCCCCAGGTTCAGTGACCTGAAGTGCTAGCGGTGCTGCTCGGGGATTAGCCCGACCCGTTGGAGGATGGCCCTTTTGAGGTCACGGTAAGCCACAAGGTTCTGAACTGGCAGCTGTTGTGCAGCCATCTGCGCTTCCCCCGAAAGCAGCGGGATGAGGAGCACTGGCCAGTTCAACTGGGGCCACCCACAAGCCTCAGCAGTCCTCTCAAAGAGGTCGATGAATGCCTCCGTATCATCGCGAGGACCCATCTTGTTTAGAGGCACATGGGATGGCGGGGCCGGGGCAGATGGAATCCTCGCAGCCCGAACCTCCCGGTCCATCCAGCACCGGAACAGCTCGCGGTCCTCCTGCTGTGCCTGGACGAGGGCCTGGAATCGACGTTCCTGATCACCCCTCATGTCCAGTAGCGCCTGATGGTGTTCCTAGTGGAGTCCCGCAAGCGAGTGAATAACCTCCACAATCGGCAAACTTGACAGGGGCTGGATGATAGCGGCGGCGTTCCTTCTTCCTTCCCAGGTTTCAGCACCAGAGTTTTGAGGTTCAGAGGATGGAAGGAAGACGACAGGGTTGGCTTGCTGAGACTCATGCCTTTATTAAATGAACAGGTGATACAAAACAAAAAGTACAGTTTCAAAAACAGCCACAGTTCAAACAATCACTTCTTTCTTGGCATTCCACGGCACTCAGCCTTGATCCGCATGCATGAGCTCTCAGTCCAGTCTCTCTCTCTCCTTCCCGTTCTCCTGTGGCTTTTTATCCGGTCTCTCTTCGCACCAATTACTGCAATCAGACACAGGTGTTCATCATTTTGCACTTGACCTACTTACTCGCCGCTTGTCTCCCAACTCTCTCTCCTGCTGCAGACCACGCTTAACCACACCCCCCTCACCACAATCATTGTGTGAAATTTATAAGAGCATATAGTCTAAGAATTACCAGTATTAAACACATTGGAATGAATGGAATTCATGATTGCACAAAAACAGTCCAAATTTATGAATCCAACATATTTATTTCTATCAAAACAACATAAATATTACTATATAAATTCATTTTACTTCTGAAACTTTCACTTTGAGATGAAAAAGTTATCAGTTTTACATGCTGCAATGGTTTGTCAGTAATAGCATATAATCATGTTTATCAACAAAAATGCAGTCTCAAAAGTGTGTGAGAGACGGGAAAATGCCCAAATATATTTTACAAAAGTTTTTTGGACACCAATATAACTAAGTGTTATATTAGTATTTTTGACACCTAATGGTTCTCCATACATACCCAAGTCAAAATTACCTGGGGCTGTATTCACAAAACATCTTAAAGGGGTCATATGATGCGATTTCAAGTTTTCCTTTCTCTTTGGAGTGTTACAAGCTGATTGTGCATAGATAAGATCCCTGAAGTTGCAAAGACTAAAGTCTCAAAACCAAAGAGATATTCTTTATCAAAGTTAAGACTCTGCCACGCCCCCCTAAAACGGCTCATTCTAACACGCCCCCACATATCTACCTCACCATGTGGAAATATTTGCATAATGCGCCCAAATGATCACGCAAAGAAAGAAGGCGTGGTTTCAGTAAACGCAGTTAGTGTTGAAGCAGCCATGTCAAGGAGACGCTGTGTGTTTCTAGGCGAAAGCAAAAGCACTTTATTTAGCCTTCCGAAAGTAGATGCATTTAGGAATCATTAAGATCACTTACAACAGTACAGCAAGGCATTTTATGAACGACCTTACATTTATTTTGAAAGATGAAGCTCGCGATTATGGTAAGGGGCGTTACATTTCCGACGCGTGCTTGTTGTGTTCGGCCAATCACAATGCACTGGTTCAGCTGGCCAATCAGAGCAGACTGTGCTTGTCGGAAGGAGGGACTTTGTAGAAAACTAAGTGTTTGAGCGAGGCGGGGCATATAGGACCTACAATAATATACAGTATTTGAAAAATAATGTGTTTTTTGAACATTAAAGCATGTCAACATATTCTGTTACACCAAATACACAAAATAATGATCTTTAAAAAAGCATCATATGACCCCTTTAAGGCTAAAACTAGCTCCTAACTTGCCGATTTAGGAAAAACTCCTAAAAATAATGGGTGTGTCAGTCCTAATCTTAGGACTCCTACATTTTTGCTCTGAGTGTATTTCACAAAGCGTGAAATCAGCTCCTAAGTCTGTGAAAAGTTAAGGGTAGTCAAGAGGACTCCCAAGTCACTAAGACCAAATCACAGACCATCCTAAAATAGTTTTTGCTGGCAATCAGTCTCAGAATGTAAACATTTTAAAAACATTTCACGATAATTTCCATTTAAATTGAATTATGTCCTCCTTTTCATGTGCAAGTTGGGCAAGAAGAAAACCATAATGAGCTTTTAAAACCTTTTCCGCACTCAAGCGCATGCATAAAGCTTGCCTCAAATCACTAGGAAATGTAATGTGTCTGAAAAAAGAGCAAGGAGATATTTTAATCATTTATTAATAAACTAGTGTTTTCTGAGTCAGCATGGATTGGAAAGATTAAGTTGACGATTCTGACCCTTTCATATGGATTATGTAATCAGAGAATATGTTTTGATTGGAATTGGTTTGTTTTAACACTTAACATTAGACATTTCAAGCTTTCTATAGATATATTTATCATGTCTGTGACTTGTGGAAAAGGTGCTTGTGATTTTCTTTAATTCGTCATATGTCTGTTTTACCACTTGTATTATGGTTATATCAGTATATTATACAGGTACAAAATTTGATTTGACTTTAGATGCAATATTAAGATTAAATCAGGTTTTTACCATAAATGTATAGTTCAGTCGTGTAAAACCTAAAATGTTGCTATAATAATAATAATAATACATTTTATTTAGTATAGCGCCTTTAAAAGAGTACTTTCTCAAAGCGCTTTACAACACAAGCAAACACAACAATCCAAAGTAATACACAAAAATACAGAATAACAATCAGTTAAAAGCAAGACGAAAATAAAAAGTTTTAGGACGAGATTTAAAAATACCTAACGAATTTGCTTCCCTGATGTCAGCCGGGAGAGAATTCCACATTTTGGGGGCATAAGATGAAAATGCCCGATCACCCCCAGACCGCAGCCGTGTTTTAGGAACGACTAAAAGACCACTCTGAGAAGATCGCAAATTGCGACTAGGTGTATAGGGAATTAATAGCTCAGCCAAGTACTGAGGAGCCAGACCATGCAGTGCCTTGTATGTTAACATGAGAACTTTAAAATCAATACGAAATCTAACCGGGAGCCAATGCAACAATTCCAAAACAGGAGTTATATGATCAACAACCCTGGCCCCTGAAAGAATTCTGGCTGCTGAATTTTGTAAATGTTGAAGTTTGTTAATACAAGATTACGGTATTAATGTGACCATAGTTTTTACGGTAAAGTGCTGGCAATCACAGCCATGGTTTTTACCATAAAATTTTAAACATGGGTCATTGTGTATGTGTGTTATGTCTGATGTAGTAAGTGGTGGACTGAAGCACAGGAGAATAAGAAGTTGGCTGCCAATCGCAAAGACACAAAGGTGAAGAAGAAACTGAGGAATCTTCAGCTTCATCCTGGTTTCCCAAACCCTGCTGTGGCTCAGGCTTACCTGCAGCCCACCGTCGACCAATCAGACGCCTCGTTCGGCTGGGGCCACCCACACCTGGAGCTCATCAAAGAATATCCTTCATGTTATTTACAGTATGATAGCTTTAAACACATTCTGAATGTCTGCAGTTTAAAATGAGCAGAAGTGGTTCTTAACCTGTCAGACATTCTGTCAGAGCCGCTTCGGATGGAGCAGCAGAAAAACTGAAGAAACGCTACAGCCAGTGCTAAAACAGCTTCAGTCTCAACAGGTGATGGACTTCAATTCTAGTGAAAAAACTAAAACTATTAAAAATAATTTTCATTTATGAAAATAAACTAACTGAAATAACTTTAAGTACTAAAACGGAAATAAAAATAATAAAAAAATTTAAATATAAATAAATTAAATTTAAAACAAAAATTCAAATGAAATTCAAATGAAAACTGACAATATGAAAATAAATGCTAATTCAAAACATTAGTAAATACTATAGTAGTATATAAATAATACTAAAATAACACTGATGATTCATTTAGACCTGTTTTGTTGAACAAATTCTTAGAATTCAGTACACTACCAATCAAAAGGTTGGATTTTTAATGTTTTTGAAAGAAGTCTCCTCTGCTCACCAAGGTTGCATTTATTTGATAAAAAATACAGTAAAAAATGTGAAATAGTATTGCAATTTCAAATAGCTGTGTTCAATGTGAATATATTGTAAAATGTAATTTATTCCTGTGATCAAAGCTGAATTTTCAGCATCATTACTCCAGTCTTCAGTGTCACGTGATCCTTCAGAAATCATTCTAATATGCTGATTTGCTCCTCAAGAAAATTCTGATTATTCTGATTATTATCAATGTTGAAAACAGTTGTGCTGCTGCATATTTTTGTGGAAACGGTGGTACATTTTATTTTTCAGGATTCTGTGATGAATATAGAGTTCAAAAGAAAAGTTACATCTTAAAATAAATGACAATAGAAGAGTTATTTTATATACAGTGGTGTGAAAAAGTGTTGGCCCCCTTCCTGATTTCTTATTTTTTTGCATGTTTGTCACACTTTAATGTTTCAGATCATCAAACAAATTTAAATATTAGTCAAAGATAACACAAGTAAAAACAACATGCAGTTTTTAAATGAAGGTTTTTATTATCTTTTACTAATATTTAAATTTGTTTGATGATCTGAAACATTAAAGTGTGACAAACATACAAAAAAATAAGAAATCAGGAAGGGGGCCAACACTTTTTCACACCACTGTATTTAACAAGATTACTGTATTTTTTATCAAATAATTGCAGCCTTGGTGAGCAGAAGAGCAAAAAATTTTAATTATTCCAAACTTTTGACCGGTAGTGTATACTTTGTCAGTTGTTTGGTTTCTATTCTGATTAATGTCTCACTGTTATTGTCTGTCTGCAGACGCAGCTGCGCATCGATTCGTTCTTTCGTCTGGAGCAGCAGGAGAGGCAGTCGATCCATAGCCAGCGTCTGCGCAGAGCCGTCACCTGCCTCAAGAGAAAAGAAAGAGAGGAGGAAGAGGAGGAGCAAGAAAGCTCTCCGTCTAAGAAGGGCAGGAACGGGGCCTCACAGCCGGACGGGGCCCCTGCTACCGCGGGGCCGTTAGTGGGAGGATTCATAGGGCCGGTGTTTCATCTGAACTCACCTGCAGACACACTGGACGAGACGAGAGGCGGAGTCGTGTCTCTGATGTCATCGAGGGCGGAGTCAAGCAGCTCCAGCTCAGAGGATGATGCTGAATATGGGAAGGGGGTCGCTATGGTTACAGCACGTTCTGTGTTTGAGGGGAAAACGAGAGGAAGAGGGAAACGAGGAGGAAGAGGAAGGAGCCAAAACAGATTATGATAACAAACACATACAAAACATACTTACTGATGCCATCAGATATGCAGAGTTTGCATGTGAAATGTTGTCCTGTTTTTCACTGAGCAGATTTTATAAACTATGAGCTGTATAATTAACATACTGTGTGATCATTTGAGAAATGCCAACATGAAATCATGTCAAATTACCAACAAAAAAATAAAACATTATTCTTCATCAGAACAGATCTATATCAGCCTTCCAAATATTTATGGTTCATCAACATCTCAGGTCTATTGCTGTTTTTCTATTTCTATTTTTTTTTTATCAATTTGCAAAAGAACGGAGTTTGTTTCTTCACATAAAGAACAATAAAAGTCTGAAAAACTCATGTCTAGTGTTTTTCATTATATAGATTGTTCTAAAGCTTTACAAAGAAAACAATCCACCAGTCCACTTGGAAAACTGAAATAGCATTTTATGGCATCTTATATTCTGGATTTTGGAATATAATTATTTAAATGTTAAAATTATATATATATATATATTTTTTTTTTTTCCTTTGTGTGTGTGTGTGTTTATATATACAGTAGATATATATATAGATATATATATACTGTATATACTGCTGTTCAAATGTTTGGGATCAGTAAGATTTTTAATGTTTTTTAAAGAAGTCTCTTCTGTTCATCAAGGCTGCATTTATTTGATCAAAAATACAGAGAAACAGTAATATTTTGAAATATTATGATATAATGGAACGGTTTTAATATTTTAATATACTTTAAAATGTAACTTATTCTTCTCATCCAAAGTTGAATTTTCCGCAGCCATCACTCCAGTCTTCAGTGTCCTTCAGAAATCATTCTAATATGCTGATTTGATACTCCGTTATTATCGATGTTGGAAACAAGTTGTGCTGCTTAAAAGTTTCACATGATCCTTCAGAAATCATTCTAAAATGGTGATTTGGTGCTCAAGAAACATTTCTTCTGATCAATGTGCTGCTAAATATTTTTGAGGAAATCGCAATACTTTTTTTAGCATTCTTTGGTGAATAAAACATTGAAAAGAACAGCATTTATTCAAAATAGAAATCTTTCCTAACAATATTAGTCTTTACTTTCGTTGTTTTTTTTATCATTTTATTATTTAACACAACCATGCTGAATAAAAGTATTACAGTTTTTTAAAACTGCTTAGACTCTAAAAGTGATACTTGAGGCCCACTCTAGTGAAACCATTCACTCGTAAACCTAATCTTTAGACCAAGTCTGCAAAACTACAAGCACATTACGTGCTTTAAACTCAGTTTGTTATTAAATAAACTTTTTTACAAAACTCTGAACACAGACTTATGCATCATTTGTTCACTTAGAAATCAAAACTCAGTGTTTTGAGAGAGAAATTATTTTTACCCCCTTGCATATCTGTTTACAGTGTATATATTGTATATATGATCTATGTGTGTGTGCATACAGTACATACATATACGCACACACACGCACACATATATATATATATACACACTGAATATGTATACAAGCCAAGTCAGAGAGTCAACTTTATTTCTAAAGCGCTTTGCACAATATAGACTGTTTCACAGCAGCTTCACAATAGTATCAAATTCAAATTCTGCTGTAAAGCAGCTCTAACAAACCAATAGTGTCATTATACAGCTCAAGTCAGTTCAGTATTGATTCAGTTCAGTTGCATAACTTACGTGCTTTAAACTCAGTTTGTTATTAAATAAACTTTTTTACAAAACTCTGAACACAGACTTATGCATCATTTGTTCACTTAGAAATCAAAACTCAGTGTTTTGAGAGAGAAATTATTTTTACCCCCTTGCATATCTGTTTACAGTGTATATACTGTATATATGATCTATGTGTGTGTGCATACAGTACATACATATACGCACACACACACACACACACATATATATATATATATATACACACTGAATATGTATACAAGCCAAGTCAGAGAGTCAACTTTATTTCTAAAGCGCTTTGCACAATATAGACTGTTTCACAGCAGCTTCACAATAGTATCAAATTCAAATTCTGCTGTAAAGCAGCTCTAACAAACCAATAGTGTCATTATACAGCTCAAGTCAGTTCAGTATTGATTCAGTTCAGTTGCATAACTGTAAAACAACAGTTGTACATACATACTGTATATACAGTGTATGTGCATGTATGCGAGTGCTATGACAAACTCTTGTGCACTCCATTGCACTCTGAACAAGCAAAAGACACACAAGAGTAGTGTTTTACATTTTTCATATCTGTGTAGTTTGGTGTGTATGTGGCTAATTATTTTATGTTTGTGTGTAGAGTTACTACGCAAAAATAATTTTTTTTAAATAGTTGTAAAAGACGGGTTTGCTTTTGCAAGATACTCTGTGTGTGACATTTTTCATGATGTGTGTGTGTTTTGTGTGTAGAGTTTGTGTGTAGAAATGGAGCCATAGTTTCAAAAACTGTGTAAGCATGTATAAAAACAAAAACTGGCATTTCTTTCAGAAAAAAAAGACAAAAAAATGACTGACCTCAAACTTTTAAATGGTAGTGTATAATGTTACAAAAGATTTCTATTTTAAATAAATGCTGTTCTTATTAACACTCTGTTCATCAAATAATCCTGAAAAAGTATTGCAGGTTATATAAAAAAAATGTTAAGCAGCACAACTGTTTCCAACACTGATAACAAAACAGCATATTAGAATGATTTTTGAAGGATCATAACACTGAAGATTAGAGTTAATGATGCTGAAAATTCAGCTTTGTATCACAGGAATAAATTATGTATTAAAGTATATTTTAAACTTGTAGCAATTCTACCTGATTCTATACTGTTCTTTTAAATTGTAATAATATTTCACAAGTTTTTTTTGATCAAAGAAATGTAGCCTTGATATGCATAAGAAATGTCTTTACAAAACATTAAAAATGATACTGATCCCAAATTTTTGAACTTTTGAATTAATTATAATTTTTTTCATATATTACCACGCCTAGTTTCTGTAAATAAAGTTTTAAAATTAGCAGCTTTGTAAAAGTATCAGCAAAAGTATCAGAAATATGTTGGGGTCTTAAAATATCATCTTTGAGAATGAGGGGCTTTGAAGTCATAAAGCTGACCTGAAGGGAGAACAACAAAGAGCCATAGACATCAGTTTTACTCCTGTTATATAACACTATAGTAAAACTCCTGGCGCAGAGCCTCAACTGAGTGTTTGACTTTAAAGGTCAGAGGAGTTCAGCTGCTCATCGCGTTTGATTGAAGTGTTATCGTGATCTCAGCCAAACAACATCTACATTCCTGCTTCCAGAACCGAGTCCAGATCATCTCTTGTGTTTGAGAGAGAGAGTATCTTTTTAATCTTGGATCTGGCACCCTCCCTTTCGCTGGCTGACCTGCATTCACTGCGCAGCTGCTGCTGTCAATCATCTCAAACCCAGTGTTGGGACAGAGACACAGAGACCAATGAGGGAAAGTTGAAGTGCTCCTGTGAATTTGTACTTATAAGGACCTTCGGCTTTCAGACACACAAATGGACCAGGATGAAAACAATGAGGGTAGGTGTGAATAAAATTGCTTTATAAGTAGTTCGTACAGCACTAACATAGAAAATACACAATGATTCGGAGTAGAAGTGAACTGTGCTTTATTCGCTACTGGAATGTCTTTACAGATTAACAACAATCACTTAGAGAGCAACCAGATCAGTTCTGTGTTCTTGTATAAAGGTAGCATCTTAGAAAATGTTGATTATCAACTTCAGAAGGCAAACTAAATGTTATATGTGTTCTATTTATTTTTAATTATTAAAACAATTAATAAAGCAGTGGTTCTCAAGGCCCTCCATTGTCCAAACAAATGTTGATTTTGATGGCTCTGCAACACACTCCAAAAAAGTTGGGACAGAGGCAAAATAAAAGTGAAAAGGTTATAGAATATCCAAGTGAAACTGTTTTGAAACAGTTCACAGTAAGCAGGTGAATTGGTAATAGGTGAGGGTATCATGTTTTGGTATAAAAGGAGCATCTCACTCTTTGCAAGCAAAGCTGGATCATGGCTCATCACTTTGTACCAAATTTCATGAGAGAATTTCTCAATGCAAAATTGCTAAGAATTTAGGTCTTTCACCAACTACCATACATAATATTATGAAAAGATTCAGAGAATCCAGAGAAATCTCAGTCTGTGTAGGGCAAGGCAGGAAACCTCAGTTGAATGTGCGTGACCTTTGAGCCCTCAGATGGCATTGCATAAGAAACCGTCATGCTGCGGTGTTAAATATAGCCACATGGGCTCAGGAATACTTTAGTAAACCACTGTCACTTAACACAGTCTGCTGCTGCTTCAATAAATGCAACTTGAATCTCTGTTACTCTAGGAGAAAACTATACATCGATTCTATGCAGTGATGCAGCAGGGTTCTCTGGGCCAGAGCTTATCTCAGATAGTCAAAAAAATGTGTGCTGTGGTCAGATGAGTCCACATTTCAACTTGTTTCTGGGAAAAATGAACGTTGAGTTCTCAGTCCCAAAGACCAAAGGGACCATCCAGACTTTCACTAACGACATGCAAAAGCAAATGTCTGTTATGGTATGGGGGTGCAGCAGAGCAAACGGCATGACTGGAATATGTGCAAAGGTACCATTGACATGGAGGCATATATTGAAATTGTGCAGAGACATGTACTGCCATCAAGATCACGTCGTTCATGGGAAGTCCATAGTTATTAGATCAAGACAATGCCAGGTCTCTTTCTGCATGTGCTACTACAGCGTGGTTTCGTAGACACTTAGATCAGAGTGAATGTGCTAGATCAGTCCAGATCTGTCTCCTATTGAAAATGTATGACCAGTCATGAAAAGGAGAGTCA